GTCTCATGCGGCAATCAAACTCATAGACTTTATAAAAAAATATTTTAACGTGATATTAGAAAGATTTATTAGAAAGATTTGTTTTGAAGGACGGGTTTTGAAATAATGAAGAACAGTGAGCAAAAATGATAAAGTGGTTCACCTTCAACCAAAATCATTCTAAAATTTAAAAAAATTGATAAAATTGAGAAAAGAATTTTCGCACAGCTCAGACCAAAAAATGTGTTTTGAGCCTGTCACCCCTTCCTTGACAAAATTTCTCCCGCGCTCTCTAGAATTTACCTCTTGCAGCCCCGCTGCGTCATCCCTCTATGTCTATACTACGCACACAAGGTTGAGCATACCTTCTTGTAGAAAATTCTAGGCTGTTCGAATACGTCATCAGTTCCAGGGTCGTGACGATCCACGTCTCCGCTTACACTGAACTTGCTTTCAGCCGAACGTGGGCATGTCATATGTCCATTGAAGCTGTTAGGGAAGTAATTTGGAACCTCACCTTAACACTACTCTTTATTCGTTACACTTGCTGATGGTTAGTCCCACCTTGGTTGTCATAAGCAGCTGGTCCATCTCGCTGAGTATTGTGTGCTCGTGCACGATATGGACAGTTGATTGGCAACTGCATATAGTTAGTTCCAAGACGATGGAAATGGGTATCAGTATAGGAGAATAGGCGTCCTTGCAACATCTTGTCCGGAGAAAATTCAATGCCAGGCACAACATGAGCTGGACTGAATGCTGCTTGTTCGACCTACAAGTATTCATATGAACCATGATATAATAGACAGCCTCATCAGTCTTTGTAAACAATTGAACAAACAAACCTCAGCAAAGTAGTTACGTGGATTTCTGTTTAGAACCATTTTTCCTACTGGAATCAGAGGGAATTCACTGTGTGGCCATACTTTTGTGAGATCAAACGGATTCATTGGCCATTGTTGGGCTTGTTCAAATGTCATCACCTGTATAAAATAATTTGCAATTTTGCAATAAATGGCACATCTTCATGGATACATCGCATATAGTACGCGCAAAGTCGATCATTTCGCATTTAAAGTTCATAAATAGACAGCACACGTGATGGTCAGCCGCTCCACTAAGTGCCAGTTGCAGGCAAATTCGACCAGATTTTCACAATTGAACAACATTAGAGACATTGTCCGCGCAAACCTATCAGTCAGATGGCCGACTCTCTAACTGAGCTCTTCCCCAATTTAAATTATCGTAAGGGATGAAATCACTTCAGAAGGTAAGATCAACCCTTTTTAGGTTAACCCGTCCACGCACATATCCTACTCAGCACCTTCCGTGTTTGACTATGGTCAAAAAATGAATTTGCGCCGTTGGCACTCGTTCCTGTCAATGCAGGGTCCGCCATCTTTTAAAAAAAAATTAATAATCGTTGACTGAAGTTGATATTTGTGTTTAGCGCACCGAAATAATCCGGAAAAGATGAGAAGTATGGGCAATTTCTTTAGCGTTTTTGTGTGCAAGAGTTGGCTACCTGAATGCAGAAGTTCCAAACTGGATAATCGCCTCTTTCGATGGCATTATAAAGGTCGCGGATTGCATAATCTGGATCTTCTCCGGCCAACCGTGCAGCCTCATCAGCCATAAGGTTCTTAATCTTCTGGGCCTTAAACATAAATTGTAGACAGCTGTTTTGACGAGGGGTTAACTAAATGTCGAGTTACCTACCTTAAAGTGGAATTTGCAATATACTGCTTTTCCATCAGCATTAACCATTTTGAATGTATGTGACCCATAACCATTCATGTGTCGGAAGCCGTCGGGAGTACCACGATCCGACATCAGAAACATCACCTAAGAAAGGAAGAATGCAGAGGATGCAGTCAGATGTAAGACAACGCGTGATCAACAAAATTTAAGTGAACGCTGTGATTAAGCTCCAAGTCGTCTAAAGAACGCGCGACGAATGCTTTGCTTTGGTGTGTATTGTGTCATTGCACAATATGTACAAAAAACAACTTCAGAAATTGTATTTTGTATTCTAGATTATTATGTTTACCTGATGGATGCTTTCTGGGCGGAGACCCCAGAAGTCCCACATGGCATTCGCATCTTTCAAGTGGGTTTGTGGGTTTCTCTTTTGGGTGTGGATAAAGTTCGGGAACAGAATAGGGTCGCGGATGAAGAAGATAGGCGTGTTGTTGCCCACCTAAAAGAACATGAATGATACTAGTCTTTAAACACTTAACGAAGGGCATGCGTGCGGTCGCGCGCTAATCGAAAACGCCTCTCGCACACGCTGCGTGATGTGTGTACCGTATTCACGGACTGTGAATTTGCATCGCGTTCTTAAGGTTTAGCTTTTAGCTTTTTGTTCTCAAAAAGCATGTATACAACTTACAGCAACTTATAATTTGGAAAAAAAATGACTGAAATCCTTCAGTAGCAATGTAGGGAATAGTTTAAAATTTTGAAAAGACTGCCAATTGTAGGACGGACACTACGGAGGACAAAAAATTCACTGAGCTGCCTTCAAAATCTTAAGCTCAGAAAGATGCTGCGTACTTAAAGCTTCCTAGTACGCAACAGCAGAAACTAACTTTGTTTAATTTCATCCAAAACATTTTTTTTCAGCCAAGAGGGCACCATTATAGAGATAAACTCCAAAGAAAGACCCACCAAATCCCAGTTTCCTTCCTCTGTATAGAATTTTACAGCAAATCCACGTGGATCACGAGCAGTATCGGCTGAACCGGCTTCACCACCTGAAATGCTAAATAAACTGCATGATTCCTTCATAATCTATGAAAAGAAGTGCGACTGTCCATCCTTTACAAGAGCAGGAAGAGCAAAATGGTTTGTCTACTCTTTAAGTACATTTCCAGATTTTTCTTGATTAAATTCTTAGAAGCACTAAACCGTGAACAATCACACAGCGCGGTGGCAACCCCTATTTTGAAATTTTGTGAAATATTTGAGTAGTTCTTATAGGGTCATCCTCGACTGTAGAGTGCTTAGTC